CAAGTCATATTCTTGGCATCCCCCAAGTCATCTAATATTAAAATGGCATTTTCATATTTCAGTACTAGCTGGTGATCCTCAGGGCCAAAACCTCTGTAATTCTCTCCCTATTTAGTCTTTGTGTGTGTCTCTCAACCTAGACCATTACATGATCCACCCACACTTTTTCTTTACCTGATAATGCATACCTTTTTATAATTACCAAAGAAGTAACTTCAAAAGACAAGCAGAAAGCCAATTAGAATTGGCTTAGTCCAAGAATTATTTGTCGATCTAAGTAATGCAACCTTTTTGCTTTCTGTGAAATATGACTATACCTATTAACTACCCTTAATAGAATAAGAATGATTCAAGAGGGTCCCAGAAATTGTTCACATAGGATGTAGTCACAGCATGATTTGCAAATGCAAACATTGGGAAGAGTCCAAATATGTAACTTTGGGGATTTGTTAAATAATGTTCGTATAGCACATAATAGCCATTGGTGCCGCAGTGCTGAAATCATTACACCTACCCCAAACTTGCAGACAAGACTCATGATTATGGAGGTTTAGTAGGGACGTTAACAGGGTACCACAAGTCAGGACCAGAGATCATTGAGGATACAGGCTGTTGTCCACAAGGGCACCTCTTCCCAGCCAGTATTCAGGTCTCTAATCCTCAGCCTCTCAGCCATGCAGTTCCTCGGCCTCGGCCTTGTTCCTTGGGTCAGGAAGTCTGCCGTTCTATCTTATGGTCTCACTGCTGTTCTTTTGCTGTCTCCTGGCCTCAGTGCTGTGCCCTCGGGTGCCTCTGCTGCCTCTGCCACTCCACACAGGGATCTTGAACAAGCTCCACTGGTGGCTCTTCTCTCTGGAAGGTCACAAGATTCTTTCCACCTGCTTCTGTGATGGCACACTATTACACACCCAATACAGTGGGAAAACTGGCTGGTCACCTCTGTTAGAGTTACACATACCTTATTTGCATGATCCCACCCAGTCATTTGGTTGGCGTTACAAAGACGCGGCTAGAACTGCAAGTATGTGATTTCACTTCACCACAGTGGGCAAAGTCAAGCGCACCATACCAAGCTGGATTTGAGAAGCAACTTGCCGAGAATAAGACCGCTTGTACCTATGCCTTCTTTTAATCCGACACCCTTGTGTTTTCAGCAAGCTGCCTTACGATGTGACCACAGAACAAGCTTTAACCTATCCAGAGGTGAAGAATAAACTCGAAGCATCCATCGAGAACTTGAGACGGGTCACTGACAAAGTCCTGAACTCCATCATTTCTTCCCTTGATGTACTACCGTAAGTGGGCTGTATGGTAACTTCAACCACCTCCTTTCTGAAGGTTCCTGGGATGTTGTGTAAAATGAACACCGGTAATGAAGACAGATGGGTCCCCTGATAATTGCGTTTACTGTCTTCAAAGATTGCCTGCATTTCTCGCTTTCCTTCCTAACTGTTCTTGCAGGAGGGAGCAGTATCTCCATTGTAGCGACAGTGCACAACTCAGTTACTATCGTCAGAGGAAGTCCCGTGACTCCATTCCCATCTCACTTTATGTTCAATTTTTAGGAAAACTGCTCACGTTAAGTTGACTAGAACAATTGCCGTGTTTCTTCCTCACTTAGTCTTTTTCCATTATTTTTTTGTCATCTGTTTTACATGTAGTTATGGATTGAGGTATATAGCCAAAGTACTGAAGAATTCCATCCATGAGAAATTTCCCGATGCAACAGAAGATGAGCTATTAAAGGTAGATTTTCAAGAGTAATCTCACCGTCGCTTCTCATGGGGATATAAGCTAAAATTCCTAACGTACCATTCTGTAAGATCTTACCCTGTTTGGGACCATTTATAATTAGCTGTAGATTTTCCACTTTGAATGACAGTGAAAGTTGTTGGTTGTGGTGATGTAAATTTGGAGATTGCAAACATGGTGGAGGAGCCCTGGTGGCATAGATGGTTACATGTTGGGTGGCTAGCTGCAAGGTCAGCCATTCGAACTCACCAGCCACTCCGAGGGAGTAAGACCAGGCTTTCTACTCCCATAAAGATTTGCAGTTGGAAAACCAGCGGGACGGTTCAGCTCTGTCCCACAGAGCCGCTAGGAGTCAGAATTGGCTCGATGGCCATGGCTGTGTTTTGTGTTTTCTATATACGTTGTTGAAGTTCTTGATATGATTTCATTTGGGGCGCAGCAAGAATATTTCCCGCCCAAGGTAAATGTGCTCACTCGGTTACTGGTAACTGGGTGGTGCGGTTTGCGCTTGGCTACTAACCAATAAGTTAGCCATCCAGATCTACCCAGCGGTGCTGCAGAAGAAAGGCCTGGTGGTCTTCCCTGTAACCCATGGGGTCGCTGTGAGCCAGCATTAACTCAAAGACAAACCGGTTTGGTTTTCTGGGTTTTGTTACTGATGGGTGGGTGATGTTCACCCACCTTCACTAAACTCCCTGGTGGGCTTCAGAGCCGAACATCATCTTGCTCTCTGGGAGACGGAAATGGGCTTTTAAGAAGGAAAGCTCAAGCCCCTGGGTTTTCTCTGTCAGACGCGGCCTTGTCCCTCCGCCCCCTCCATCTCTCCAGATCGTCGGGAACCTGCTGTACTATCGCTACATGAACCCGGCCATCGTGGCCCCTGACGGCTTTGATATCATCGACGTGGCAGCAGGCGGCCAGGTCACTCCTGACCAGAGGAGGAACTTGGGATCGGTGGCCAAGGTTCTCCAGCACGCGGCCTCCAACAAGCTGTTTGAAGGCGAGAATGAGCACCTCTCCTCTATGAACAATTACCTGGCAGAGACTTACCATGAATTCAGGTGAGAAGTGGCTCTCCTTCTGGAGAAACGCACAAGATGAGGGGAGGAGCCATGTGGGTTTCGTGGCTGGAACTGGAGGCATCCCCCTCTTGCCCCAGCACCCCTGTTCCATCGAGTCGTTCCCGTCCGTGGGATTTCTGCGAGTGACAAACTCAAAGTTGATCGTTTCTGGTCTGATATGGGTTTTAATCATGAGAATTTTAAAATCACATCACTGAGTTTTACTCTGGCAAATTTAAGAAGAGGGTTGTTTGTTGGTGTTTTTTTTAAAGGAAGTTTCTCATTCAGAAAGAATTTGCCTTAAAAGCATCCAACAATTGTAGGAAACCATTTGGCTCTGAAGGATTGGGAAAGTTCAGATTTTGTATTTGTTGATGATGATGATGGATGAATATGTTCTGCCCTGTGACCATTCTTTATGATCTGAGGGTACCTAAAAATTTAATATTGCTACTAAGATTCCAGTTTATACACACATTGAAGCTAAACCAAATATACTGCCAGCGCATCAAATCTGACTCATAATGGGCCTACGAGACAGTAGAACTGCCCCTGTGGGAATGGAAATCCTGACAGAAGTAGACAAGCCTCACCTTTCTCCCAGGGAGTGATTGGTAGGTTAGAACTTGTGACCTTGTGGTTAGCAGCCCAACATGTAGCCCACTATATCACCAGGCTCCTCCCATGCATCCATACATAGGCTTATTCAAAACAGAACGTGTTTAAACATATCTCTACAATCAGTAGATGGCTGCAGGCAAGTTCTCAAGGAATACATTTGTTTGGTCTAGTTAGGATACCCTCAAAAGTAAAAATTAAAAAGGATACTTTTTATGCCATGCACAAAAAATGATTTTGAAGTTAAGGCTCATCAAGTTTTAAACAAAACTGAAATGGACATTTTTTTCTAGTCATAGAAGCTCTGTAACAAGTTAAGGGAATGTTGCTGTGGCCTAAGACAACAGTTTTTAGATGGATCAAGCTTTTCAAGGAAGTTCAAAAAGACCTCAAATATGATCCAAGAGAGAGAAGGCTGTCAACATCTGAACAAGTGTAAACACCTGTGGCTGCAGTCCAGAAACTGGTGGGGTGGGATTTGTTTGGAACCTGTAAACTTGCCATCGGTGTGCGATCCTAATGTTATAGTTATCACATCACCCCTTCAGACGTCCCAAAATTCAAAGAACATTTAAAGGGATCACACCCTAAGTCCTTCACAGCGGTGTAGAGCGAGGAGCGCGGAGTTTTGTGGGAGGAAGGTGAGACAGATGGAAACTCCACCTTCAGAAGTGTACAGACCTCAAACGAGGCTATGTCGATAAACAACAGCTTCACCTTTCGATATTTTTGTTTAATAAAGGTTTCTATGATTTTGTTGCAATACTTTTTGATTTACCCTTGTATGTATGATTTTAGCCTATTGGCTTTGAATGTTTTTCCAAATGATGTGTATCACCGATCACTCCATGTGGCCATGACAGACGTGAGGCCGGCCATGGGGATCGCTGAGCCCAGTGCTGTCTTTGACAGCACTACACCTGGACGGTCATGCTTGTCTCCTGTCCGCCTTTTAAACAAGTCCTTAGATCATGAAGTGTGACATCAATTTGGCCTCTTCTAACTTCACTTAGAGAAGGAGGTTTCATTCCGTAGCTTTCCTCTAGGCTAGTGACATTGACCTGCGAGGGTAGTTTGTGATCTCTTATCTCTCTTTAGAATATATGAGCTCTTTGAGAAAACACTCCTAAAACCTCCTATTGCAGGGCATGTTTGCTTTCTCAAGCTGCTAATTTTCACCCTTACTGGTTAAAAAGGCAATTCCCATTCCCCATGTTTCTCAGTCTGTGCTTGCTAATGCTTCCCTGCCCCCGCTCTTCGAGGAATCCTTATCTCCATCTTAATTCCCAGCTCTTTTGCATTTAACAGTAAACAACACCAAATGCTTTCCCACATGTGGTAATAATTTCTTTTGTAAGAATTAATACCAAAGTTGTTCTAAGGAGTTGGGGATTGAAGAAATCCCCAAAGTCCAACTCTTCGAAGAGGCTTGTCTACTCCATTCTCCCCTCCCTCAACTCCTCCCTTGAGTAGATTCCCTCAAGTTTCTAGCTCCGGTGAAATTACTGCAGTGTCCCACAAAACTCCCCAAAGTCTGAGGATGTATTTCACATTGCGGTGGGTGCTGTTCTGTCCAAAATCCAAAGGTCAGGCAGGGGTAAGCTAGACGCTGGGTCCAGAGGACATACTCCACTCCTGGCTTTTACTGCTGATGAGATCACACCTTCTGCTTCGCAGAGGCCTCATTTTCATATGCAGCAGGATGGCACTGCAAGACACCTGGTTCATAATTACTCACCAGTGAAACTTGGTGTCTTCACCGACCTGCTTACCAGGCCCATGCAAGGAAAGGTTGTTTGGTGGAAGTTACACTATGCAATCAAATTAACATATAACCATTAACCCAAATATAATAATCTGTTCTCCACCCCTGAATTGGATCTTATTTATGCACATATGACCTTGGGTGCCTCTGGTAGAATGTTGCTGGTAGGCATTTGACCTGCTACTAATCTTAATCAGCCAGCCTTTTCCCCAGGCCATTCCAGAAGCAGCATTTCCCCTCTCCTCTGAAGCATATCATTCCTAACTGCCACCACAACCCAATGGGTCCTAAGAAGTGATTGTGTAATTGAAGGGTAAATTAAAGAAACATCAGACAAGGCATGTGCAAGGGCTCACCTCTTCCATGGAGACTGGAATGAGAGAGACAGAGAGAGCTAATGTATTCTCCGACATGCTTATATAGTCTTTGCTAGCAAGCCACAGTAAGCACATACTGTACATAACAGGAAGGGGGCTTGTGACAGGAAGGCACATACCTAACAAGGTGGACAGGTACTAGAGTTAAGATGGTACCTTAAGCTTGGCCATCCCTGAGCTGGCTTGACCTTAGGTGTCCCTGAGCTCTTCTCCAGGGGATACAGTCTGATCCTTATCAGAAGGGAGTGGGCCAGATTTCGGGTGGGGCAGGCAACAGGGTCTGATTGCTGTGGATGGCAAATAGCCTCTGGGTGTACTAGATAGCCCCCATGTGCTCAATAGGAGCATCTTTAAGTAGCGTAGTATGGCGGGGAGATGGTGGAGATGAGTTTGAGTCAAGAGAGTGTGCCTGGGATTCATCTCCAACTCACGAATGTAAAGGCCTTCCTCCACCAGAGTCTGCTTCCCAGACTCCTTAAATACGAGTGTAGAAAATTCGTCTGCATGCACCCTCTTCCCAGTTCGATAACCATTACAGAGACAGTCCAGTTCACACCTGCTACTAAAATCAAACCCTACGCTAAAGACTGAGTCTTGGTCTTCAGCAGATAAATGTCCTCCAAAATGGGGCTATCGCCGCAAGCGATGAAGTCCAGAGTTCTAATGTATCACGTAAGGGATAATGGCTGGAAGGGCCTTATTAATGGAGTATAACTCGCTACACTTAAATGCATCGCTTTTTCTCTGACCCACATACTTATCTTTTGCATTCTTCAACGAGACATAAAAAAAGGATAGCCCAAAAAATGAGCAGGAACATCATCTGTCACTGGGACATTTCTCCCAAGGAAGATGGTCATTTCTGATGTCTGAGCCTCGATGGCCTTGGGAGATATATCAAGGGTGTTCGCTGGCATTTATGACTTTATAGATTAACATACGCCTGACCTATGCAGAGGTCGAGCGAGCAGAAACCACCTGGGACTTCTCCTAAACAGATCACCGCACACCTTGCTTTTCTTGATCTCTGTCCAGGGGTACTACAGAATTAAGACTGGTGCAGGAAAAGTAGGACATTTCTGCCCTTTTGTGCCCAGCCTTAACGTTCTTTCCACCAGCCACCAACTAATTATTCAGAGCAACTAAGAGTAGGCATAACTCTCGAGTTTTGACTAATCGGGAATAGATGCTTGGAAGGGTCGGTGGGGTGATGTAGGTCCAGGAGACTGTATCCATGAATGCCACAACTTTGATAACTCGCTTGTCCTGTGGTATTCTCTAGGATGACTGGATTCTCAGATCAGTAACGAGTAGTCCTGATCACTGGCATTTTTATTGTTCCTTCACTGCCCATAGCTGGATGACCCTAAAGGGCCGGAAACCCTTGGAGCTCTCCCCAGTCCTGGGTGAGGAGCTGGGCTCAACCTCCCAAGGAAAACGGCCGTGGCCTCCACTGTCTGGAGCCAGGGGGAAGAGGGCT